TAAGTAGGCACGCTTGGGATTGTGCTGTTGATTTGTATTGTGCTGTTGCTCACAAGTTTAGGTAAAGATAAAGTGTATTATTTTTTAAGTCTTTAAATAATTTCTGCAATTCTGTTTTAGTGACACAGTGTTGCGAATCAGCTCATGGGGAAATATGAATAATTAATCATAAAGTTGGTTGATGAAAAAGAACCAGTTTGCGTCAGAGAATCTTGATGAATGGAAAATTCAAGGCCGAAGCCTGGCACGTACTTAAGGATGTCCTGGAACATTGTAGCTCACATCTTCTCAGAACCTAACAGAACCATCGACTTTAAAGTCTGCGAAGATTCACGCTCTTGTTCACAGACAACTCGGCACCCAGTATGTTTATTGGGTGAGGGTTCTGTGAACGTTTGTTAATCTAAGGAATAATTGATTTGTTAAATCAAATGAAAAATGGTGTGTCTGATTGGTCCAGACGCTACAACAGACATTGCATATTTCAGCTCTGTGAGACAGTGACGTGAACTGTTATTGTTATCAAACTTAAACTTTGTTCAAATTCAGTTTACTTTGCTTTTTGGATCCAGTTTTAAGTTCACTCTTCAAATCTAGTTTGAACCTAAATCTTTGCTCTTCGAAGCCAACTTTTGTATCCAGTGTTATGCTGTTTGGATCCACTTTTTAGATGCAGTGTGAAGTTAACTGTGTAGCCTTCTCCAGATCCAGTGTGAAATTAAATTCTGGATTTTGGATTCAGTGTGAAACTTTTCTATTAAGATCCAGTGTGAACTGCAAAAAAGTTTTTAAATAGTATTTTTGTTTTACGAGTTTAAATATCTAAAAATCTTTAAAAGAAGTTCCATTTACTTGAGAAGCAACTCTGAATAACATAGCAAGAATGTACATTTAATATAAATGTATTGCAAAGGCAATGTTTTACCTTTTACGTAAAAACAGGTTAAAAACAAGTGAAAACATCCAGTGCGGTAGGACAAAATACACTTATATTCAAGATGCAATTTATGACAACATGTCTAGTATCTCATACAGTGTCTTTTCTCAAGTAAATGTATCTTGCTGTAAGCACTTTCAGACATTTTAACTGGAAAACAAGACACAAATTCTAAAAAAGAGCATTAATGCTCAGATCAAGTGTGAATTTAAACTTTCATGCATCAGACCAGTGTGAACTTAAATTTGCACTATTTAAATCCAGTGTGTGAAATTAAACTTTCATTATTCCTATCTGTGTGAGCTTAAACTTTCACTCTTTAAATCCATTGTGAATTTAGAAACATTAATTCTGACTGAAGTTGCTGGACAGAGTTTGCTGGCTAAAGTGCTAACATTTTCCGAAGGCAAACTAACCCAACCGGATGAATCAGCTTTAGATTTACAGCTCAAACATTTGAGAATGGAAACATCTGGTCTAACACTAACGCTTAAAATAATAGCACGTTCAGCATGACAAGAGGCCATTATCTTCACATTTTATGGTGTTTTTCACATTATGTGCAGTTGATATAGGCAGAGGTCTCTCTCCTGGTGTTTCCCGTCTAAGGAGGTAAGGCAGCGGGATTTGGCTATTGGCATTTATTGAACGGGTAAAGTATTCATTGTTGATACACAAGGGCACAGCGGCATAATGGAAGCTTCAGCCAAGTCAATAATTGTCATTTTATCCAAGTTCAATACTTCAGTATTTTCTTCCACCATATGGACCGGCTGCAACCCCTTTTATTTACAATCACGCATAAGCAAGTATCTTTTATGGCTTCATTACTATAATACAGGTGGATTGTCTTGTAGATGCTTAGTTTTTTCATTGCATTTACAGAGCAATGTAATAAAAAGATGTTTTGGAAACTAACCATGAGTATTAATCGCAATCAGTCTAGAAAACAGCACATCCAGTACAACAGGCAAGTGTTTAACCCTCAGAAATCCACACACACACAATTTTTCAAAGCTATATGATGGTCATTATTAAGAAGAGCACATTAATATGATAATGCTGTAAGAGGATGAACCATGGACACTGAGAGAGTTCATACAAACAAGTGCTATAATGCTCTGCATACTCTGTAAAATGATTTTCAATGGCATGGTAATGATTATTTTAATGGAGTGTGGTTTGGATTCGATAGATGCTTTAATGTACAGCTTTTCCATTACTGTTTAAGGAAATCAGCAAAAGAATATGGATCAGTGACTAATAAGAGTGTGCAAGATATAAAAAAAAAAACACAAACAGGAAAAATCTAGTTTAAAATAAATGTGGCAAGTTCTTTGTAGAGTCTTTGTATTCAAATTGGTTTTGAAAAATTAATAACACCTTGAATATGTGAATGTACACAATTGTTTTTTTTTTTATTAAAATGTAAAAAAGGTCAACATATAGTGCCGTTGCGCTTCAGGCGTCCCGAGTTCAAGTCCCGGTTTGCGGGCTTTTCCCGATCCCACTCTCTCTCCCACTTCGCTTCCTGTCTAAAATTACGGTCCTGTCCTAAAAAACGCCAAAAATAAATCTTTTAAAAAAGAGTAAGTAACTGTAAGTAACTGTTTAAGTAACTGTATACTGCACTAATTACATTTTTAAATAAATTAATAAATCCTGAAAAAATGATTAGACACTGTTTTTGTGACACTGACCAGTTGTGCTCTCTCAACTGACATTTTAAGCCTATCATTTCAAGTTCTGAACTCTCAGATGATAATAACAGCTCTTAGCCAGCACAATAGGAAAGCTTATAGTAGCTTTATAATGCACTAATACATAGAGAGACAGTGTGGCAGTGACAGGTGTGACGCCAATCTCTCGGCCCAAGGCACTGTACTGTAATGTGGGCTTCAGATACAAGGACTTTACAATGTGGGATTGTTTTTCTGGGTTAATCTCTTCATTTAGTTTGCATTGCAAAAATGATAACCATTACATTACTAAGACTCAGTCCAGAGAAGAAGTGCAGTAATGCGGAGAATAGTGAGATTACTTAGAGCACTCACACAATTCATACACTTTATCTTAGTGTAATTCCTCATTATATCATGACAGACTGGTAATGTGAATTCAATTTCTTGTCACAACACCATCAGCATCATTCATCATCCACATAGAAACCTACTCCCGCAGTTGGAGCGCATGTTATTCCTCTGATTATGACTTTTCAAACCAACCATATATATAGATAGATAGATAGATAGATAGATAGATAGGTGTGTGTGTGTGTGTGTGTGTGTGAGTTTATTGTTTATGCTACACTGTGGGGACCAAATGTCCCCACAAGGATAGTAAAACCTGAAATTTTTGACATTGTGGAGACCGACGAGGGAAAAAAAAAATATTACAAATAGTAAATGATGTTTATCTGAAAGTGTAACAATGCAAACAGGCTTTATGTAAGGGTTAGGGTTGGATTAGGGATAGAAAATATCGTTTGGCCAGTATAAAAGTAGGCCTAATTTAAGTCTATAGAAAGTCCCCACAATTCACAAAAACAAACGTGTGTGTTTGTGTGTTTATAGTTACCGAAATTAGTCAGGTCAGGGAGTTTTACATAAAGATATTTAGATTTACTATAGACTAATTACTATAGACTAATCCTAACAAATCCCCTTAAAGAAAACGTACTATTTATGTTTGTATGTATTCGTTCATCCATTCATTCATTTTTAATTAAATGCGTACATAAATAAATGTTCTATTATGTATAAATACGTTTTACAGTTCATGATACCCCCGGGGGTTTTTTTATGAATACTTTTTACAATTCATGATGTCAACGGACGTGTTATCATGCTTTGTTAAATATCTAAATAAGGGAATGTATTTTCTTAAATACTAAAAGATTTCTATTGTCAAAAATTAAGCCCAAATAAATAATAAATCCCCCAGATGTCGCTAAAGGGACGTGTTGTCAGGTTTAGTTAAACATCTAAATGAGGACATGTGACTCCTGAAACACTTAGGCTACATGTCCCTTTAAGGACAAATGGGGACGGATTGGCGTGTTTAGATTTTCAATAAATCTTAAACCTACTCATTCCCCTAACCTGTATTTTTTCAGGGGAAAAAACATTATTTTGTTATGCTATATAGGTCTATATTTATGTTTTCCCTTTGAGAACGTCAAAAAAAAGTGTTTTTAGTCATATTCAGGTAACACCTCAGGACATTGTTCAGCAATTTTCTTCCCGAAGAATAACTAAGTTAAACATGCGGACTCACGCACACTCTTCACTCAAGAGGAGCAGCAGATCAGAAGTGTTTCCTTGTCAGTTTAGCACCATTATGGAGGGTGTGGGTTTAGCTGCTGTCAGGCGGATACCTCCATCACTCATGCTCTCAGATTAGCCTTCTAGAAAACGTCAAGCCAAACTGTTCAGTAGTGGACGCTCACAATACTCGACTTTCACTCTAGTCACCCAGTATTGACTGCCATCTAGTGGTGGATAAACACAATGACATGAATCCACGCCAGTTCTTGTAAAAAAAATAATAAAAAAATAAAATACATGAAGTCCAAGTACTTTTTATGCCATAAAGTAAGCTCTAAATTACATTTCAGTAAACAGGTATATATGCTTAACTATGGTCTCATTCTTTGCAGTTTATGAAATGCCGATTATGGAGTTCATGAAATGTTACCAGATTCTTCCTCAAGAAAAATAACAGAGAATAGCAATACACAATTATTTAAAACAGAAAAAAAAAAAAAAAAATTCAAACCCTGAACAAGACGGCATCCAATACACTAATACTCAATCCCATTTCAAAGAGTGATACAGTTAAATACAACCGATCGCACATTTCAGAAAACCACAGTGAAAGAGGAAAGCTTCCATGACACCCAACTGCCCCTATTGCTCAGGCCAGAGATATTACAATGTAAAATCGCCACTGTTTTTCACAGAGAATAAAATCTAACTCTGACAGGTTTTAACATGCAGAATCTGATCAAAACAATATTACTTTTCTCATGTTTTCTCTCTCTCAAATTTAATTATTTAGGGCCTTTGTAGATGTGTTTGAAATGTAATATAATTGGGTTTTTAAGAAACTCTATGTATTTAAATCCATCAAACTGTCACTGTCATTCAGGCAACATCACATGAGTACTCAAACCAAATCTGCCACTATAGTAAAAAGTGTTCATTTCGAAGGATAAAAAAACACTATGAAAACATTACTTATTATCCACCTTGACAGTTTACTGGAAAATCTCCTTCGAAAAGACAAAGTCTCAAACATGGGGCAACAAACATCCCACTAAAAATGTGCTGTACACTCTGGCAAACGCCTTCGTCTAAACATCGGCTCATAACCACACACCACATTAGCTCTGGAACTGGTGTTGGAAGATGTTATCTGCTTTACATTAACAGACATTATTGATATTAAATAACTTACAATATCGAAATACATACGAAAAGGTGGACAGTCAAGAAACAAAACGCTCCAAGAAAAAGACAGTTTCAAAGGATATAACAGAACATGCAAACCTCAAACTTTACAAAAGCTTTATCAAAAGAAAATAAATAAACTTGCTCTGTAGTCCCAAGATCAGAGATATGTATTAGAATAATTAACTCATGCTCTCTGAAAACAAAAATGGAGCAACTCAAAATTAGAAAGACAGGACAATGCTAACAAATACATTGTATGTGTGAATGTGTGAATATTTAATGCACAAACAATGAAGTATGGGAAATGTGCACACAAGCATTGTGGGGCAAGAAAATTGGATATTTTAAAAAATATAACAAGTATAAAAATATATTTTGTATACCTCCAACTATTTGGTCATTTTCAGAAAATCTGTACAAGCAATTCATGAAATTTTAAAGATGGACATGAATAATGCTGTTTAATTTAAAAGGAGAAAGATTAAATACATCCTTTAAATGAATATTCCTTTAAGAGACTGATCTGCGTTTTTCTTTAATAAAATTACTATAAATCTGATTGCTAAAAAGGAGATTTTCTTTTTACTCTCACATTCACACCATTAAAATTAAAGGAAAGAAAAAACACAATGATAACAAGAATTTAAAAAATCCTACATTACAAACAGAAAGAGCGGCACAAACAATAGCAGTTATTTATTCTTGTGACCATGCAGAGCATCAGAAACCAGGATGTAGACGTTCATTGTATTAGTGTGACGGAGGAGTTCAGCAGACGCAGAGGGTTGCTTTGCGGGGCTGTAGTATAGGGACGCTGGGGGTCCGTTTGGGACTCTTGCCGGCGTTGCGTTTGGCCACGGAGCGTTCACTAGTCCTCCGGCGGGAGCTGCTTGGGGTGAGGGGGCTCCGTCTGGGCCTCTTCCCCACCGGGCTTGACACATCCGGTGGGGACAGGGGCATCTCTGGGGTCCGGTTACCCTCAATGGGGTACACAGTCAAGGCAGCTTTGTCCGTGAGCTCAGTGTAAGGGAGGTTTTCCTCTAACAGGGGTTCTGCGCTCAGACTCACTCCTGACAAACCGTTCCTCCTCTCCAGCGCCGGCAAAGACTCACTGCTGGCTGAGGACAGGTCTGGATCCGGGGTCTGTAAAGGGTCAAACATATGGTCATTTTCTGATTCTATCATTAACATTTTATTATATACAAATTGTTTGGAAAGCTATTTTTAAATTGTAGTATGCCAAGGTAGCAGTAATAGTCCTTTTGAGAAAATTTACAGTTCCAATACAAGTTTAATTTACAGGGACTATTTATATTTTATTATGTCTTTTAAAATGGATTTAATTTATTTAAAAAAGAAAGAAAACAGCATTTATCAGCATTTATTTGGCATAAAAACAATAAATGTACTCATCTAACTACATGTGGTGTAGGAGTTACTAAAATTATTAAAGTGACTCAATAATGTTATATTGCAAAAATATTACATTACAATATATTGTGAAATATTACAATTTAAAGAAATCAATTCTAATATGCTGATTAGAAATCATTCTAAGATGCTGATTTTTTTAATGACTTTTTACAGGACTTTTTTCAGGATTGTTTAATGAATAAAATGTATAAAAGAACAGCATTTATTTGCATTAATGTTTTTTCTAACAAGTAAAAATCTTTACTGTCACCTTTGAACAATTTAGTGCATCCTTGGTGAACAAAAGCATTAACTTCTTTCAAAAAAAGAAAAAGAAACTAAGAATACACAATGTATTACCCTATATCATATTTTTTTAAACTGGATATTTATGCATGTTTATTTGCCTCATGTTTACATTCAGAAAAATAATTATCAGCTTCTCAGTATCAGCCAGAACTGTAATATTTAGGAATCCTTAAAAGATATAAAGTAAAAGTTGAAAAATTGATGTTAAAAAAAATTCCCAGAGGAAGTACCAGAAATGGAAAAGATTCAAACTGCAAACAAATGCCAACAACTCTAAAAGACAAAATACAAATAAAGCAAGTCTAAAGTCTGGTCTTCATCACTACAACGGGGGAAACGCTTCGTGGCTGCTCTTTTGCATTCTCTTGCCTGGTTCTGTATTTTTCATTTCCCCTCTATCAAAATCATAACAGCACCAGAAGAGCAAACAGGAAAAACGATCAAAGCGGCCTCCCAAAACCTCAAATCCACTCCACTTGAAAGGATTAAAAACAAACATCTGTCCACTCTCCAGCTCTCCAAGCCAAAGCAAAACAGCCAAGAGCAGCTGGAGGAGCCGTGCTTCAAACACGCTGGGGCCAAACAAACACGCAGACATGGCTTCCATCGGAACTGCTCTGACAATGGAGGCCTCGGTCGGGAAAGGGGGAGACGGGGGAAGAGAGAGAGAGAAAGATAGAGAGTGTGTGACAGTTAGAGGATAAAGAGAAAAGCAGGCAGGACTGATGAGCAGCATGTCAGAGTCTCTTTTGGTGGGCATGGAGCCAAAGTGTGGCTAACAAGAGCAGGAACTCTGTAAAAAGTCTTATCTAAAAGCTTCTGATTGGCTGTGAGCCTGGACACAGTGTACAAAAATCGCTTGAAGTTCAAGCGTATCATGAACTCCTGTTTTTGTCTGCTTGAAGTGGCTGGGTAGTGTTGTCAAAAATAACGGCACTTCAGTACCAAGTTGGTAACGGAACTGTTCAAATGTGACAATACCAGACTTCTTGCAGTACTGGTAGGACTGAATAATGACTGCATTTGCGCTCTAAAGAGCATCAAAGGTTTCTATTACAACGTGTTTTGACATGTCTGTTGAGATCAGAAATGTAATGGACAATTACAGGCGTTTCATTTAGTCAGACTCAAAATCTACTCAAAAACAGTGCAACTCAAAACCGAGCTCTGCACGCTCGCGAATCCTAATTAACCAACAAAGTGTAGACACAAAGTAAATAAGAGACTCATTATGCAGTGTAGCCAGATTCTTTACTTACAACAAGAGATCTTGCAAGAGTGCCGAACTCAGTGAGCATGCACTGAAATTAAGTGATTGACAGCTTCAGGGATTATAAAGAAAGTGCCATTTACTCACTTTCTCTATACAAGTTCTGTTTTTTATAGAGCTGCCCTCGACAAAAAAAAATTCTGGTCGACTAGTAGTCATTCATTTTAAGCATTAGTCGACTAATCGCACGTTTATTAATAAACCATAATAATGAGCCTTTAATTGCCTACATAGCCTAATAAGCGCTCAAGCATAAAGCTTGCCACAGCGCACCGGCAGAAGTAATGATAATGAATGTGCCAGGGAATAAAAGTAAGGAGGCTGCATTAACATTTGAATAATTTATTGATAAACTAGTGCTTTCTTCGTTTTCGGCTTAAGAAGTCAGCGACACTGACTTGTCATCTCCGCAGTAGTGGATGCACCTGTATGCATGTTTCATACGGATTACATAATCTGAGAATATTTGTTTTCCATTTGAATTGGTTCATTTGAAAGTAAACATTTCACTCTCTATAGATATATTTTTCATGTCTGTAAGGCAAGTATACTTGGAGTTTCGAAATTTCACACACGTTCCCAGAGACCGAGACGGCAGAAAGCGCATCCTGTTTGCTTTCATTATTTTACAAAAGTGTGATGTTTTGTTGTTATTGTGAGTCTTTACAGATTCGAAAGATGTATTAATCTTATCTGTATGACCAAAAATGATGAGTATTTTAAGAGCAAGTGACCGCACCGACGCCTCTGTCCTGCAGTGAGCGCAATACTGTTCAGCTTCCACACTCCGACACTTGAACAGCGCACATTTTTCTAGGTTAACATTAGATTGAGCTGCCATGTAAAATTGCTGTTACTAACCTCACCACATCCTGTGGATTTTTTTCTGTGACTAAGTGTCTAATAGAATTTTCGTCGACCAAGCCTCTTTTGTTCGACTAACAGTTAGTCAACTATTAGGGGGCAGCCCTAGTTTTTTTGTGCTGCTAAGATGACCATATTTTGCTAAAAGTGTTTCACTGTAAATGTAGAAGTGAATTTATCACTATTAATTATTGACACAGCGATAATCATAACAATGATGAAACAAAAAATATATATACCTGTACATTAAAAAAATAAGTCTTTGCTGAATACGTTTAATAGATTTAATAGATTTAACAACCTAAAGACACTCTTTATTCTATTACTTGTTATGTGTTTTGGTTCTTTATTTTATTACTGACTTTTCACTTAAAGTAATGTTTACTTAATTGAAAAAATATTTAAACTTTTTAATGCATTGTTTATTTTTAATTGTTATTAGCATTAAAGGCAGAGTAAGTGATTTCTGGTAGCCAATGTTGATATTTGAAATCACCAAAACAAACACGCCCCTACCCCAAAAGGGTCTTGCCCCTATTTTGATAACTCCGCCCCACATATACATACGCAACCCAGGCAACGATTAGTTCTGTGAAACAAAGCAAAACCAATGTTACACCGTGTCTACGGACGTGAGCGGCGCGGTGCAACAAATCCCCGACAGAAAACTGCTGCCGGGTTCTATTTATGACGTGCTGACACACATTTCAAATGGTTTTCAACTGTCGTTTCAACGGTCGTTTTCAACGTTCGGCCCGAATCCAGTTTTCTAAAGTTTTTTTGAAAAATCACTTACTCTGCCTTTAATAGGCAAGGCAAGGCAAGTTTATTTATATAGCACATTTCGTACACAATGGTAATTCAAAGTGCTTTACATAAAAGAAAGTAATCATAAAAAAAATTATAAATCACAAAAATAAAACAAAAAATTTAAAAACTTTGAAGATGATTTAAAAATTTATTTTAAATTAAAGACTGTTAAAAATAGAAAATGACTATACATACATAAAATACAGTGCATTGTATTTATAAATCAATAATTGATTTCATTTCTATATTTGGTAACACTTTAGATTATGGAACACATATTCACTATTAACTAAGAGTTTCCCTGAATAAACTGCTAATTTGCTGCTTATTAATAGTAAGGTGGTTGTTAAATTTAAGAATGGGGTAAGATTACGGGATCTAAAATATGGTCATGCAGAATAAGGCATTAATATGCGTTTTATAAGTACTAATAAACAACCAATATGCTAGTAATATGCATGCTAATAAGCAACTATGTAATTCCTCCCTAAACTAAAGTATTATCATTTATCTAAAATATGTTTTTTTTTTTCTAACAGTTCGATAAAAGAATAGTAAAGGGATTGTATTCAAATAGTTTTTGCTTTGTTATCAAAATAAGTACAGAGAACCGTGAAATTTTTACTAGTATAAGTACTGACTACTGAAATGTTGGTATTGTGACAATAATGTATTTATTTCCTTTTTTTTCAGCCTGCCTTTACTTCTCAAAGTGTAGCTTTGTGATTTTAGTGATTTTACCTTAATGAGTGGCGTGATGGAGCGGGACCCTATTGCAGGGTCACAGTGTGGTCCCTCTGACAGGCTAAGTATGACCTCGTCTCTGTGCATAGGTAGGTGGGGTTTGCCAGGCTCAGGAAGGGCAATAACTATGACGCTGGTGTTGTCTGCACGGAGCATCCGCTGACGCCATCGCATCAATGCATGGCACCCCAACCGACGTGCAACCGACATCCCGAAAGGTGCCTGTAGGGCATAAAACACACACTTTTAGATATTAACATAAATAGCAGTATATCATGTAGTTAGGGATAAATCTGTTCATACCACAGCTTCATCATGGCTCTGGCACACAGTCACTGCCTCCTGTGGTGGCACCATGTTCCAAAGGCCATCACTGCCAACGATGATGTAACGATGGCGTTTAGGGTCAAGGGACACCACATTGGTGTCAGGCTCAGGAGACACCACAAACTCTCCACTATAGAAGTCATAGCTCCATAGATCACCTGGAAGGACATTATATTTAATTTTATTTGCTTACCTTAACCTTTGCCAATAAAAATACCCCAGAAATTATAGGGAAACAGGAAAAAAAATCTCTAAATTGTGATATCAAGGGCCATCAACTAAAAAAAAAAAAAAAAGCAAAAATAGTAAACAGGCTCAAACATGCTTGCTTGGCATGAAAGCACCTATGAGGTTTGTTGTTGTGTGTAACGCAAACATGTTCAAATCATGTTCAAACTAGTTTTTTTGTGTGTCAAGCAAGTAAAACTCAGCTTCTGTTTAGCATATTTGATGTGCTCTATGCATATGCATTGTTCAATGTTTATATGTAAATAAAAGGCTAAATTACATCTGTTCTCTTCAGAGTCTTCAGTATTCAGTGTTTCTATGAACTTTTTGAAATGCGAAAGTTTTGGTGGAATGAACTTTGAATGGAGAGACAAATCTCTCAGGTTTCATTAAAAATATCTTTATTAGTGGTTCGAAGATGAACAAAAGGTTTATGGGTTTGAACGACATTAGGGTGAAGATTATTTTTGGATGAGCTATCCCTTTAACTGAATTTGACTGTAATGGATTTTACAGAGACACAGTTTGCATAATCCTTCTTAACACTATTAAAAGCAATGCCCTTGACTTATTAATGAGAACTGAAATTAATAAAAACCACATATTAATCAATATTTAATATATCTGAGTGTACTTGTGTAATTGTAAGTGTTTACCTAGAGCTCTGGCGACAGCGAGGAAGGGGATCTGATCGATCGGGGTGCTCCTTCTGACCGGGCCGTTGTGAGTTACCCTAGGCCTCTTCCACACCACACGGTTCACACCAGACTTCTTCACCACACTACACTCACACAAGAAAATGCAAATTAACTGGTCTTCCAAAACACAATTGTAGTGGTTAGTTGATTTGTTTTAAGACTGCATGTTATCCAAGAGATTGATTCTTATGATGACTTAAAGGTGTCAGCAAGCATCAAGATCTTACCTGCCACCCAGTCCCTCAATTCTCTGCTTTTCTTTCGGGAGCTCGGGCTTGTGGTCTTGTGTGACCTCCACAGCTTTGATGACTTTATCAGTGGGATCTTCCCTCACACCCAACACAACAGACGAGTCCCCGACATGAGCCACAAACATGCTGTCCCCTCTGATGACCACCACACTGGCTGTAGTGCCCGAAGTACTGGGGAGGCCAGTTAATGTCTTTGGCCATTCAGCTGAAGAAAAAACATGCATTGTTAACCACGACATTGACCAGCAGATGTCACTAGCATGCCATCACACCCACCTAGTCTGCTTTGCGCATGCATACATTCAATAATAATTAGCAGAAAGTTTCTCATTATTATGCAATATGAAGTCATTATTTTTAGAAAGTTTCTCATAATGAGATGTTAAGTTATGAGGAAGACTCTCATTATGAAAAACTAAGTCATTATTATTAGACCGTCATAATATTTATGTTTCTAAATATAACGTTAACTTAATTATGAGTTCGCTTCTCATTATTATGATGTACAAATACATAATTATGGTACAGTCTCTCAATATAATGAAGCAGTAAGTCACAATTATGAGAGTTTCTCATTATTATGACTTACAGAATCATATTTTTACTCAGTAGTGGTGGAAACGGGTTTCTGTGATATAATGCATTTGCTTATTACCTCTAACCGTGTGTAAAGGTTTGCAACAGTTTTACATAGACCTTCTGCCTGTCTGTGCACTGCACACAGGACACCTTGGCAATTGAATCGCCATTGGCTAGTAAATTTGTTTTGTTTACTCGCCAGAATGATATATATGTAAAATGGCACCGTTTTATAAATATCTGAAAGTACACTCTTAACATCAGTCAGTAAAGCATTGTAATATGATAATCAATATTATTTAATGATAGAACTTTAGTAATTAGAATTAAAACTTGATAACCATGTATGAATTAGGGCTGGACAATAATTTAATATCATGTATCGCGATATAATTTTTTTCCATAACGGTGATATGATTTTTAAACACATTTCCGATATTTCGATATACATTACCAGTTTCCCATACATTGATTTATTTGTGCCGTTTGACTTCGTTGAATAAACATGAGCACTGCAGGTTTCAAATTCATAACATGGCGCGGGTGTTTTATATGAATGTATCTCTGAAAGGTCTTCAGAAAAGTTTCGATGGCATTTTCATTTGATACGATAAAGTAGCATTCATGAGCGGAGCTGCTTTGATTACAGCCATTACTGGAGAAACCGCTAGTTTTATCACTCTAAAAGCGCCTCCTGCTGGCAGAGAATGAGTTTTCATTTTAAATAAGCCCGTCTCCAGCAACATTTCCAGTTTTTGTTGTTGTTCAATTTTTTGTTTTCTGCAGCGACTCGGAGCACGTTTCATACCCTTTTTTCTGGCTGAAGCACATTTGTTTCAATCTATAAGAATAATCAGCCTACACTACCAGGCAAAAGTTTTTGAACAAGATTTTTAATGTGTTTTTTTTTTTTTCTCTTCTGCTCACCAAGGCTGCATTTATTTGATCCAAAGTACAGCAAAAACAGTAAAATGTTGAAATATTTTTACTATTTAAAATTGCTTTCTATTTGAATAGATTTTAAAATGTAATTTATTCCTGTGATCATACATATGTAAATTTTCAGCATCATTACTCCAGTCTTCAGTGTCACATGATCCTTCAGAAATCATTCTAATATGCTGATTATCAATATTTAAAACAGTTGAGTAAATTTTTTTTTCAGGATTCTTTGATGAATAGAAAGATCCAAAGATCAGCATTTATCTGAAATAAAAAGCTTTTGTAACATTATACACTATTCCATTCAGTATAATTTTTATTATTTTTTTGGGAAAGAAATTATAGAAATTAATACTTTTATTTAGCAAGGATGCTTAAAATTGATCAAAAGTGATGATAAAGGCATTTATAATGTTACAAAAGATTTCTATTTCAGATAAATAGTGTTCATATCGATATCGGAATTATATCGTATCGACCGAAATTAAGAAATATATCGTGATATCAATTTGGGCCATATCGTCCAGCCCTATGTT